AATGTGGGTTTCCCGCAGGTCAGTTATTCGAAGTGGCAGAGGAGGTCAGGCTGTGGGAAGGGCAATGGGGCATCACCTGCAAGGGGCCAGCTTTGGCCAAAAAAAAAAGAGGCCACAGGGCCAGCACGGAAAAGCAAAGCAAAGTTTCACTTTTCTTAACCTTGCCCTTTGAGGACAGGCATGGGGGAAGGGCTCAAGCTGCTTGTCTATAAATGTGGGAGATCTATAAATAGGGGAAATCCCATGTCATGTAACATTTGTCTTCAGGAAATTAAGTATCATGTCTGAGGCAACTTCCAGGAGCCTCACTACACCACAGCAGCTCAGAGTAATTCCTCCCATTGCCTGCCACACCTCTTTCAAGCCAGGATCAAACACCCTGGGAAGACAGGAACACCCTTGGTTACCACATGGGCAGTGGGGACAGGAGCCACCTAAGACAGGGACAGACCCAAGCTTGCTGAGGACCGAAGACTGCAAAACCCAAAAAGGCTGCCTTGCCTGACCTACTGTACAAAAAAAACCCCACCAAAACCCCAAACTTCTAAATTATTGAGGGTTTCCCCATAGGGAAGACCCCTCTGCTTACTTAGAGAACTTGTCACAGCTCACCACTGTCTATTTATTCCACTTGCATCACAGGCAGGAGGGGGTGGGCTCTGCACTCCCAGCCTCTGTTTTCTACCATCAGCCTTCTTTTCTCAGCTTAAATCAACAGCAACAGCATCCTCAAAAATCCTCGTTCCCCTCCAAAGTGCAGGAACACCAGGAACAAGATCCATTTCGGAGCTCAGGTCCTGCTCCTCCCGGGCAACTTAAACAGCCGGCACAGCCGTGCCTGCACCTCAGGAGCCTCCATGGTATCAGGCTCGGATGCAGGAAGGTTACATGAAACCACTGCCCTTTATTGTTGCCTTCTCAGCCAGAAGCCCTCCAGACAGATCGTTTTAACGCAGAATTTCAGGTCACATAGTGCATGTTCGCAGTCCTGGAGGCCGACAGGGTATTTTCATTAGGTCTCTCTACTTGTTCACATAACAGCCAGGCTGAGAAGCTGTCTGGATTTCACTCTTATTATTTTAACTCTGAGTGAAAACAAAGCAATCCAAAGGGAAACCTGCAAATAAATTATTGCTACCAAACGCCAGCTACAGGCATGTTAGTCCAGCTAGAAAATATAGAGGTTTATTCTGTAAAACCTCACTTATCAATAGGTTGTTTCTAAGATTAAATAAAAATAAGTATCTAGCACATTTCCTAACCCAATGCTACCCTGTGCTGGGTCTCAGGGTACTCGCTTCAGGATTCAACTCAGTGTTCTGCCACTGACAATCAGGGTAACCTTGGGAACATCATTTCATCTCTGAGTGCCCCTTTTCCCCCCCTTTTCTCTCTAAAGGGAAGAAATATCCCCTGCACCATGTGTTTACCCCACACTAAGGAGCTCCCTGACACAACCAGAATACAAGTTACGATAATGATGTGTCAACACTGCAAATCTAAGTCAAGGAGGTTCAGACAGATAAACTTGAGAAAGAGTTTAACAAGATATTACAACGTGAATTTTAACTGCCTGATTCTAAAGTAAAGGTCTTGTTCTGCTGCCAAGACAGCAATACAGCATGGATCTGAAGTTTCATTTCATGGAGCACCTACAGGGTTGATATTTTCTTCTTCCTTCTTATCTTAATACACATTTCCTTTCCAATGGGGGACCAAGGGACGTAACAGAACATAAACCCACTGGGAGCCCACCATGTGCTGATGCCCAGGTGTGCCTGGGCTTCGACAGCTCTATGCAAATCTATGCCATTAAGGGCCCTGCTGAAATTCCCCCCGGTCAGCACTAATACTTTATATGTATTCAAGAGCACCACGGAGCTCAGAGAAAATAAACA